ATCATATAAGGAGAGAGAACATGGCCGCCTTTCCCTTCACCATCGTATTCATCACCCTGTGTTTGAAGAACAAATATCTGAGAAGTATTCTCTCTTCTCCACGCATAAAGACCTATATGAAACTACTTTTGAATTCATGCATGTTCTCCATGTAATCTTGAATGCAAATTTTCCATAACATCAAATGAACAAAGTCAATACTTTCCTTCTATTGGCCAAGAAGGGTGATGGTTCACCACACAAGTATTCAGATATTCATTTTAAAATGTATGTGTCTGTTCAGACATGAACAGCTAAAACCAGGGCTTTTTTTGTCATAGAACGCACCGGAACAGTGTTCCGGCACCTTTTTTTGATGGATTTTTCCAAGTGATTGTGAATCGCCCTGTTGGGCGTAGCAGATCGGCAGCAAAAATCATTAACATAGTGCCTGCGGGCTGCTTGTTTGTTGGCGCTGATTGTCTGCGCTGATTGTGAGGGTGCTGCTCAGCTTGGGATGCTGCTCGGCTTGGGATCGGTCGTGTGGTTGCGTGCTGAGTGCTTACTGCCGGCGGTGACCATTGTGTAAAAGTGTGACCCCAAGACGTGAGTTCCAGCACTTTTTTTTTTTTGTTTTACAAAAAAAGCACTGGCTAAAACAGTCAAATAGTTTTGGATGGTAGGTTTTTAGACTCACCATGAGTAGTGATGAACTCCTCAACTTAAAATTATCTCACCCCAGATTAGAGAGATACTGGTGGAAGCTTTACATAGGTTTTCTAAGATTAATCCTGCTCTGTTCCTCCTTCATTGGTGAGAACCTGGCTCTAGTGGCTCACTGTTAATTGTTCTGCATGTGACCTTTTTGTCTAATAATAGCAGCATTTTGGGAGATGTTAATACAGTTATTATTCCATATAACTATAAAAGCATTATGGAGCCTTAATTTTATACTCATCCTTTCACAATAAAAATGAACCATGATTTCGTACTACATGCTTAGATGTCATAACTTGTTGGGAAACCGGAGATGGATTCTCAAAAAAGCCCTGGCTGGAGAATTTGATCAATTGTTTTCTCTGAGAAACTACACATAATATGAAAGTCCTATGAGAAGCAGAATCACATGATGTTTGCACAGCTACCTGGTCCCCTTTCATCAATGAGAATAATCAAACAGGGTGTCCACCAGCTGCCTTCAAATTCAGAAGAGAAACCTTCTAAACACTTGCCAGATGTAACATGTTCTCAGCAATTCTTTTTACTTGGCTACTTACCTTTATTGTGATCCCTTAGTCTACGTATGTATTGTTGTTTATTAACGATAAAGAAGGAAAGATGGGGACTAAACCAAAAAATAACAAAAGTAACCCTCTGATTATATCCAATCCAGCTTGAAATATATACAGACTATTTTCCTAAGAATTTTCTTCAAGTTATGGCAGATGTGAATAATTTCATGCTTTGAAGCGCTTAACAAAGAAAGTCACAGTATGCCAATGAAAGTTCTTTGACTTCCTACACCCCACTTCCTAACCCTCAAGCCTATGTTGGTGATGCACTGAGTGCCCTTCTGGGTACAGTTGAAAAAGATCAATTTCTTCCACCTTCTATACTCCAGAATTCCTTCCAGCTTGTACCTCCTGGGCCTTGGTTATACAAGCCAGGGTCAATTTGAATAGATCAAGCTGGGGTGGTATGGACCACCACTGACCACTTCAGAAGGAACAACCCTTTATGGGAATGCTACACATAAACAATCAGCAAGAATAAACAGGTGTGGGCAGAAGGTACATCTCCAGGGGCTCCCAGAAGGTCTTGATAGCATAGCTACTAGGAATGCTGGGTGTTGAAGTAAAATTAGCTGGATATTTGGCTTCTCTCCTCCCTTTCTCTAAAGAAAAATCTAAGGAATCAGGAAGATGCTTGCACATCCCCTAGCAAGTATTCTTACCTTCGCAATTAGGTGTTTCAAGCTTAAGTGTCTCTGTCGGTAACTATTTATATAGATATATGATCCTGCACAGAAAATGGAACATTCTCTAGAGTTCCATGGAGAGTATTTATCACCTTGGGATGGCATCTCCTCATGGAAGAGTAACAAGGGTCTTTTAAGTCTTGCCTCTTCTGGGAATCATGCTGCCCCCTCCGAAACCAGACTGAACAAGTAAGCCTGACTCTCAAGCCCTTACCGCACACTGCAATGACTGCTTTCTGTTAAGAACAGAAAACAATGACCTTGAACAGGTTGTGACCTTGAACTATAATATAATAAAAGAGAAACTAAGAAATCAAAATATGTTACAACCATAAGAGTTGTCCTGGCAACTTTTCCTACTTCATTACAGAAATGTCTACTGCTTCACTCTTAAGACCAAATATTCACAGAAACAAAATTCTCTTTTCTCCAGAGCTTCACAGAGGGCATTTATCACCTCAGGATGTAGCACAGCAATACATAATTTGAGCAGGCTTCCAAAGATCAGTTAAATCATGAACCATCTAGTGAAAAAATGAGTGGACAAGGTGGCAAAGATGTCCTCTGCCACTCCTCAAAGGCAAAGGAATCTTGGAAGCCTTGTAGTTTGCAGGCTTCTAAACTGCAAGGGCACAATTTATATGATTATACTCTAAATACTTAATTACATAACTGTGTGTCCAGCCCACAGAATACAAAAGAAGTAATCGGAACCAGAAAGAAGGGCTGACAGTGATGTCCGGACAAACCCGTGTCCTCAGTGAAACAGAAAGTAAATGACCATGTTCTTTAATTGATGGGGCTATATTTATAGTAAAAGTACTGACTGAGTCAGAGATTAGATAGCTAATAGACATAAAATAGTAATAAAGCTTACTCGGATCAGTCAGTGACACAGTTTGATGATTTGCCAGTCCTTGGCCCCAGTATCATCTCATAATAAATATATACATCTTTCTTTACAATAAAAACTAGCCTTTTTAAAGTTTATAAATGGGTGAACAATTCAGTTCTAGGGTATTAAGTATCAGCATTAACTTTATCTTTTAACTTTAAATCAAGTTATACGAGAAACTTATTCTAGCGGAGTATATTAAAATAACTGTTTTAATATTCATGCATACATATATATTTGTTACCATAACTTAGCTAGGCACTCTGCACAACTAATTTGTTATTCCATTGCTATAGTGTGCAAGCAACCATTGATATAGTGTTGCTTTGGGGGAGGGGGAGGGGAATGTTTATTTTCTGGCCAAAGTAACATGCCATAGTTTTCAGTGGGACAGTGAGATAAATAGTTAACACTTCCTCCCACTGAAATTAGTGCTTTTTTCTGTGTGGCTCTTACTAAAGGGTTATGGTTTTATATGTGGTTATTTTGAGGAAAGTACCTTCTTCGAATGAAAACCACTTTTAAAATAAGTTTCCAATGAAATGCTGTCCACACATTTTATTTACTAACTACTGGATACTACGGAGGGCTTAGCTGTTACTTGATGAAACTGAAGTAGTTGCCTTTCAACCCAAAGTGTCTTAGGCCCTGAAGTGTTTCACACACACCTTTTGGACCTTCAATTTTCTTAGGTTTTATATGTATGTCAGCATTTCAGTGTTTTTGCAGTATTGATGATCTGAGTATGCTGTGTGTTGGTTTGGGATGTATGTATTTTACAAACAGAACATACTAATTTGCCCAACTTGAGGTTACTAATGGATCTGCATGTGTGATGTCAAGTCCATGATGCTCATCTTACTTAGCTATCAGTCCATTCTTAGGCATTAATTTTCTCCCTTTTTAAAACTAAATATTCTATTAGATGAGTTACCTCTTATATTGCCTTTTATTCTTAAATCTAGTTTGAACAAGATTGGGTTAGTTGATACTAAATCCATTTTCAATTCATTTATAATCCATGTGAAGAGCTAGTTCTCATGTTATTTTTTTCTCCCTTTAGTTTATAATGTGAAACTATTTACTATCAGCTATTACTCTTATAAACTTTGCCAGAGTAACAAATATATCTGTGAGTTACCTATAGTTTTATATATAAAAATAGTAACTGCAAAGCAACAATTTTGATTTTTAAAATACTAATTGTGGTTTAGGATATGAGGACAGTGCTATACAAAGCACACATTTCTTTGTTATTTCTCTATAAAATGAATGAGCTGCTCTTTTTAATCCTAAAGAGACTTTTCTTTGGGATACTTGGATTTAAAGTTAACTGAGAAGCCTTTTGCCCTCTGAATACAACCAAGATTATCAGATACAGTATTGTTTTAAATCCCAAGGCTTGAACATCTGGCAGGTAGAGGGAGGCCATTTTCAGCAAAAGTCGTTTCCTAGTAGAATTTGCTTTTTTGTTGGTCCGACAGAACCTGAGCTGATTTATCTTGAGGGGTTAGTATAAAGCCCATCTGTTCACTTTAAATATTTCCCTTGAGAAAATGATGGGAGCCTATATTTATGCCTATAGTGTGGAATTATGAGGTTGTCTTGGTATTAGTTAACAGTTGTCAAAGTATGTTTTTTTTTTTCATTTTAAACATGCATTTTAGATTTAAAATAATAACTCAGGATCAGACTGTCAAGGGCAAATGGGGGATGGGGAAGTGAGAATAATCAATATCTTCCTGAATTTATATGACCATAAACTGCAAAAATGGAATATAATCCTTAATATGTACATTATTTTATTCTGTGTAAAAGAAATTAAAGACAAATGTGTGTGGTTATTGTGATACTGCAATATTTAAAAGCTTTACTTTGTGAGTATGATTTCTGAGGCTGTTATATGTATTTGTTTTATTACAGATATTTATATGTGTTCAGGACATTTTACATTGAACTAAAGTTACTAGTTCAATAAAATGAATAAGCTAGTAAAAATAATAGACTTTGTAACTCAGTCCCTCTAATTCAGTTACTCAATATCTGATACAGTATTTGATTAAGTAATTTGTTTAAAATGTAAATACATATTATTTTATTATATTCAGCTGTAGTAAATGAATTCGTTGTGTTCTATGCACTCTTAAGGAAACAGAAAAATTGCAAGTAGAACTCAATGAAAATAAACAACGCTTGGAACAAGCACTGCACAATACATCAAGAGCTAAGGATGAATGTCTGAAATTAGCAGAGTTGCTGGCTAAAGCTGAGCATCAACTGCACCTCACCAGGTACCCCTTATTTTATTTAACCTTAAGGACAATTGCAGTTTCATAATGCTATATTTTGCCAGTAGCTTGTCTGCAATTATTATAGATCAACTTGAGTGCATAGCTTTCAGGAAAATTTGAAGTGAAGATGTAGTGAACAAAACATCCAGACAAGATGAAGTGTAAAAGCCAGAAATCTATTCATTAAGTTCATTATAGAGTATTCTTTCAAATAAGTCTAGTGTCAAATGTGATCTTAGAACAATTGTAGTCAGTAAAAGTTATGTACACCCATTTGTTCTTTCAAGATTATTTGGTGCAGTTGCTCAAAGAAACAATGCACATTATGTAGCACAATGTTTTCCAATTCCATATTAATATATAAAAGTGGAAAATAGCTATCCTAGTTACAGACTATATCTAGATGCATGCATGGTCTTCAGAGAAATTTAATATTAAAGTGTGGTAGTTACATCTGTGTCAAAAGTGCATGTGCAGTAGACCGGAAGGTAGTTAATAAAAATGCCTTCTGAGGTAGCTGCATTTTCATAACAGTGGCTTTATTATGATTATATGTACCTGAGCCTACAGAATAGATTTGTTTTACTCTTTGATTTTTAACAGGAGTTAATTTACTATGTAGCATAATGTAGCTTTTATCTGGACATCTTTGGCAATATAAAGTCTGTACTTAATAGGATAATGTTCAGATTTAAAAATACATCAGAAACCATTTAGACTTGTACTATCAAGTAGAGTGAAGTACATGTACAGTGCATATCTATGCATGCACACATGCATATGAGTATAGGTGGTTCACTTGGGAGAAGATAGTATGCATCTTAAATGATTACGCCATCCTCTTTTTTAAAAGAATGGTGTAAATATAGATCATGGGCTAGTAGCAGATGGGGAGAAAAACACCCTTCTCACAGCCTGTATTTAGAGAACAAATATGCTAGAGGTTAATGAACTTGAAAAAAGTTTTGGGTAACTTGTTAAGACAGCAAAAGTTTTGATTTTGCAGGACTTCTTTTATAATGATTTGTTGTGATAGATAACCAAATGGTTTACCAATTTCCTTCCTAAGGCTAATCATACAAGTTATGAAGCTGTGTGGTGTCTTGGAGAAAATCCAAACTGTAGATAGATTTTCTGAAAAATTTCCACACTCTTAATAAGGTATACTAAGAGCCTAATTAAGTTAAGCAACCAAATAATATATGATTCAGATATGCCAAAATTAATGATTAAACAATAGATCTTACATAAACATGATGCTTTTCAATCTTCTTTCTTTGTTTATTTGGAAGTTTGCAGAAACTAGAATAGGCTTAAGAGTGACCTTTTGGTTGCTTATGGTTTAAATGGTATAATCTTTGCTGGTTTACAGCTTCTCATAATATTATATCAATCATGACAATTTTTTCACAAATTATTTTTAATAAAAAGTATGGACATTTTCCATATTCGTTTCTCTCATTTGCTCTAATGCTCTAACAAGTAAACTTGCTGATTTGTCATGTTTTTGGCACGGTAGAACAGGAAGGAAGTCTAAATTCCTGATAAAGACCTATATCTTCAGAGTGATCCAGTACTTTCTAGTTCTTCATCTCTTATTACATACTACCACTTTCTCTACCACTATCTAACCCTTTTCACCTTCTCATGTTAGCTCTTTCATAACACTGTTGTCTCATCTAACACAAAAATTGAAAAAAGAAAAGTTGATGAACTATTATTTACTTTTGATTGGCGCCCTTGCTATATTTGCCTGCAAATGTTGTATACTACAATTGCATTTAATAATTGGGTCATCCTCTCTTATGCATACTCATGACAAATCTCTTCAAAGTCTTAGCTTTCCACCATTGTGTTCAGGCATTTAGCATTAGTTCTAACATGGTTCAATGAAAGGGTACCTAGCCTGGGGACAAAGTGAACAACTTGTGTGTTGGGTGCACCCTTCCAAGGCCTTGGATGTACACCCCCATATGTATCCCTGACCCCCTACTGCTGAATCTCCACCACCAATTTGCTACCCACCAGGAACTGCCTTTTCCAGTTTAGAGCAGACTCTGTTCTGAGATCACTGTTTTCCTGCTGCTAGTAACAGTGGAAAAGCAGCAGTCTCAGTGGGGATTGTTGAGGGATGGGAAAGGCTATCACTTCCACCCCCAAATGATTCCTAAATCTCATCAGGCATTTGGGGGAGGTGGATATTCCTATGCCTGTGTGTGAGCAAGTAGGCTGCATGCAAATATAGGGAAAAGTATGTACTCATGTACATGCATTTGTGATCCCTGGTTTCCCAAGCAATAGTGAATGTGGTCCTGAGGGCTGAATGTGGTCCTAAGTTTCTAAATGTAAAAAGCACAGTTCAGTTTAATAATTTAAAACTGTTAGCTCATTAAGTTTAAGTAGTAAAAAAGTACTAATTGTATTTGCTTCCCTTATGGAGGGAAGTCTCGAAAAAGACTTAGTTCTTTTGAAGAAGGCAATATTAAGTTATACAGAAGCTCAATTGTGTGAATTAGTAGGATGCTAAATGTAGAATGTTTCTTTAAAAAGACTAGTTTCCAGGTTTAGTTAGATAGTTCAGTTTTGGACCTTCTAGAAGAGCTGATGTGTTATGAAAGTTGCACCCATGCTGGACATGAAGTTACTGCTACTGCAGAACAATTCAGTGGTTGATTTTTAGAAACAAAAGGAGGTTAAAGTTCTAATAATCATATTTGACATGTTTTATCTGGCTACTAAAAGCTAAATTACTGCAGTTAGTGACTTAGTAACATGAACTATTTAAATTTAAGCAAAACCCATTTTTCATTGCATGATCTCTTTTGCAATCATAGAAAAATATAAGAGGGATAAAATATTTTATTTAATATAAATAAAACAGAATGTTTTAGCATGTTGAAACAGCTCAATCTTATGCTAAGAAGTTTGATTCTGTACTTATTTTCTGATTTCCAGACTTCTGTGGATGCAAGAGGGATATGCATTTCAGATCTATAACTGAATGCAGACTCTTGCTCTTCCTAAATATGAGTTTCTGAAAAGCAAAACAGTTGCCTTAGTAAGCAATTTAAAATTTGAAACAATTTAAACAATATATGGTCAGGATCTGTTGTTATCTGCAGGAGCGTCTTCCATATGAAATTTCTGGGTACAGAAATTAAACTCGGTCACCCATTAACGTATTTTATCCTGTAGAAATTTCCTTTTCCGGAAATGGTGATAAACTCATTCCTAAATAGGTCAGCTGGCCATCAGTTAAATTTTTGTTTTTGCATTCATTCTTAATTCCAACCTTTATTTTGTGTGAATTGCAAGAATATTTGTTTATATTTCTTTTATATTGGGTTTATTTGGAATATTAACTGTGAACACAGATGATAATTTTGCTAGACTTTTGAGATATTTATAAAGATCTTTCTCTATGATGTATTTCTCATGGTTTACAAACTAATAAATACTGAAAACTTGTATGTATTTTATGCTTTTTTGCACTTTACTCCAATCCAAAATGTGACTAATACAATACTTATAAACATAAAGATAAAAGAAACAAATATGCGCAATATATCCACCAAGTCACCAAGACTGCTTCCCATGTGCTTGAGAGAACAGCTACATTTTCATCATCGGCCAGTCTTGTCTCCTTTGCAAAAGGACACTCATGTGTCTTAAAACTTGTAGTAAAGTACGCATGGGAGTGTCAACCAGTTACTACTTCTGGGGGTATGTTTAACATTGTACTCAGACCTGTGAGTCTGAGTCATGTTATATCCAAGTCTGAGTCATGTTATATATGCCTGTTTTTTTCTGAGTCATCTTATATATGTCACTAAAAAGATCACGTTGCCCTGTGGTGGAAACATGGATACCTTTAATATGTGAAGTGGCCCACTTGTCTGAGGCTATAACAGAGGAACTCTTGTGGGAAGTAATTCCATAGATAGAACATTTAGTAAGTTTACTTCTATCTGTATATGTCTTCAAGATCTAACTATATGCACTGATGCTAAAATTAAAGGAACGCAATTTACTATTATCCCATTCTAATGAATTTGGAAAAGAGGAAAAGTAATTGGCTAGACTGATATCATTTTGAAACAAAATTAGTTCGCTATTTATTTGTATTAATTGAAACTAAATTCTGGCACTGTTCTGCAGATCAATTGCAGTAATGTTCTTCTAGATACTCAAGGTGATATACCTGGTAGGTTTTTTTTTCAATAAACAATGGTAAGTCAGCAAAGTGTCTGCTTCCACATAGATTACCATAAATTGAAGCTGTTCACATAGATGGTCCAGAACATTTAGCTTTTCTGCATTTTGCTCATGACCTAACATGACAAGTCACAAAAAACAGCACATCAAGACAATTCTGGTTTAACTACATTGTGTCCAACTCAAAGTACTGACTGAATTCAGCCTAGTATATCAGCTTTACTTTCTCTAATCTTAATTTTTTGTAATCTGATCTCTTGAACAGTAAAATTCTAAGTAGTAGTGATGCAGCTAGTAGAATAAAATTTAAGAAAAGCCATGCTAAATCAGAGCGCAGCTGCATTAGTACAGGATTCTGTTCACACAGTAGCCAACAAGCTGCCAGTGGGAAACCCACAGACAGGATATGAGTGCAACTGCACCCTCCCAGCATAATCCCCAGCACCCAATGTACCTAGACGTACAGCCTCTGGTACTGATGATAGCATATAGTCACTAAGGACTAGTAGCCATTGATAGTCTTATGATCCTTGAATTTATCCAATCCCCTTTTATAGCCCTTCAAATTGGGGGCCATTACTACATCTTACGGAAGTGAATTCCATAGTCTGTGTACTATGTAAGGAAGTATTTTATTTTATCTGTTATGACTCTCTTAGCAGGAGCTTCCTGGGATAATCCTGGGTTCCAGTATTATGAGAAAGGGAGATAAATGTCTACTTCTCAACTTTCTCACCACCATGTGTCATTTGAACACCTTTGTCATGTCTCCCTTGATTCACCTT